TCTTTCTTTCTTTCTTTCTTTCTCCATCCATCCATCCATCCATCCATCCATCCATCCATCCAATAATTAATTTATTCAATAATTCATGTTTAACAAATCTTGGCTTCAGATAAGGCATGAACCCAATCTTCACATCCCTTCATGGTGAAGGATCCTATCAAGAACAGTATTAAAGGGATAATTTTAAACAGTTATGGGTAGCTGGAGTAGCATGTCTGCAGAGATAGTATCTAAAACAAAGCCTGGGAAAAGGCTGAAAACTAGCTGGGATCTCCCAGAGTAAAAGCTGCAAGAGTTACTCCAAGATGAAGTCTTCTGGAGGTAGCTCCCCAGAAGAGCTTCTAGGCAAACCATCAGCGGAAGGCAGCTGCTTTCAGAGAAGGTAATGATGATGTCTTAACTCCTTCTCAAGGAACTGATCAGAAGGAAGATTTAAGGAGAAACTGAAGTCAACTTTCAGGAGAAAAGCTCAAGAAGTGAAAGCCATTTCAAGTTACAGCTGAAGTTCTGTCCTCTCTGATCCTCGAGAGCTAACCCAAGTGAAATTAAGCACATTACAACGGATGCATATATTTTATTTAGAGAGGTTAATTTAGTTATAGAATTGATGCTTTCCTAAAATAGTTCACAACTGATCGATGAGTCTAATTTTATCCTGAGTCACTTCCATGTGCTGAGGAATGCCAATCTGAGATCCTCGCACCAACTCACTGCATCTCCATGATGCGTGATCTCCACAGGGCTTCTGGGGGGCACTTGGCAAGCTGAACTAGTTTGGCTCCTTCTCCAGGGGAAATGCGTTGAGAAAAGTTTTGCAGGGTCTCCAGAGCTTCGAAGCAGAAAGCTTCTCCTTCCTGGGAACTCCAGTTTCATTCTGTCTCCTGGGATTTGCCTCCTTTCATCTGAAAGGAGTTGTAGCTTCTGCCTCTGCCCCCACTCAAGAACGCTTGGAAAGGTAGCTTTGCTGTTTCCTTTCATTTCCTCCTCACTGGAGGAAAAAAAATGCAGTGAGGAGATAGGGCACTGGCTGGAATACCAATAATTCTTCTTTTTCTCTATTGGTCAACGGGATAACCCTTTTCCCTTCCCCAGAAAGCAGCCAGGGGGATGTTTGCACAATGGTGCAGAATGCACAGCAGGGAAGCACTACTGCGTAGAAGTGCCTTCAGTATACATTAAAAAAATGCTGTCAAGTGAATCTCAACTCCTGGTGATCACATGGACACACCCCTGGAGTTTTCTTGGCAACAGTAAGGGACTAGTTTGATGCTGCCTTTTTCTGGGATTTTTTTTTCAATTTCTCAGACTAGCCTATAGCACTGAGAGTCCCTGTTCATCTCCCATCCAGTACTAACCAGACCTGACCCTGTCTAGTTTCTGAGCCAAGAAAGGTCAGTCAGATGTTGCCATCTACCAAGGCTAAAATACCTTACAACAGCGGTTCTCAAACATTTTGGTCTCAGGACCCCTTTACATCCCTAAAAATGATTGAGAACCCCGAAGAGCTTTGGCTCATGTGGATTATACCTATAAATATTTACTGTATTAGAACCTAAAAGTGAGAAATTTTAAAATATTTATATTTATTTGACTTCGTGGACCCCCTGAAAGGGTCTCTGCACTTTGAGAACCACTGCCTTACAATAATATAATTTGTTGATTCTAAAAATAGGCTTGTCTTTTAAGTGATTCTTGGAATCTATTCACTAAGACTGAATGTAATATTGATGGCATATTGGAGGAAAGCTTGGTTATGCCTTTCTGGTGACAGCTGAATTTCAAGGGATAAGGAACAAAACATAAAAAGGCTGTTGACACCACAGCAGCCAGATTCTTCAGAATGTGGGAAAAATTGGTAGGATAGAAATCCAGTGGTGGTTGGATTTTTGGGGGGGTGGGGGCACATTTGGTGTCCTGTGGTTGGACTCAACATTTCTATTTATTCATTTTTCCACAACTGGTGAAGTAGCAAGAGGTAACCAACTGATTTTTCATAGATTGCTAATCTGCAATTTGGGGATTACTATAAACGGTGGCCTACATAATATGATGATTGTAAGGGTTACAGCAAAAAAAAAAATATTGGAAATATTTGAAAGCACTAAATCCATGCAGAGTATTCATCGACCGGCATATTATTTTGTCCCAGTGTTACCAAGTATCTCAACTGAGCAGCCTGCGGAACAATACATAAACCTGCAGCACTTGGCTTCAGGGGTATTGTTGGATATCTCCAGACTGTGGTTTTGTGCATATTTCGGAGTCAATCACCTTGAACTCAGCAGGGCTTGCTTCTGAATAGGCCTGCATAGACTGCATTGTTAATGGAATTTGGGACGATCACTACTCTTCAGTCAATGCTTGGGGAAATGCATAGAAAGTGTTTCTGAAATGCTACAGTCTGAATTGATGGAACATAAAAGGAATATAAATACAATGTGTTGACTCCAGCAGAAAATGGAGAGATTTGAGCTAGCAAGTATATCCAAGGAGAACAATTAGACTGCTGTTTAAGAGCAATCAGGTGAGGTTATCTGATCCATGTTTGCAATGCAATGTCAAATGAAAGTAAAATCTCTACAATTTTCCAGCTTTTCTCACTATCTTAGCCAGGTCACAGCCTTCTACTTCATCTGGTGGAAGTCCATGCCCATATGCTGGCGAAGGTTAACAATTTGTGACTGAAAGTTTGTTCTTTTCCAGTTTGGAAGAGCCACATAAGATAAAGCAGTGAGGTCATCAGGGAAGGGGAGGGGGAAGTGATTATAAACCTATTGATTTCTTTTTTTTTTCCAAACATAAACTAAAAATCCCATCAATATAATTTGGCAGTTAGGTGCCTCTCCCCGCCAAAAAAAAGCAAAGGGCTACATTTGGCCTACAGGTTGGCAGCTGCTCACACCTGCCACATGTGTAACTACATGGATACCAGCAAGAAGTATTAGAACAGGTCTGATTCCATGAATAGCCATGGAAAAACTGCAGGAGTTTTTACATCATAGTAACTTTCCTTAACCTGTGGCAGTAGTTGTCTCCTTGAAAAGCTACCAGTGTCTACAATCCACTTGTAGTAATCCACTTACTACGACATCTGAGTCACTCACAAGGACCGTGGTACACGTCCCCATTCATCCTCCAGACAGCCTTTCCATCTATCTTCTGTTTTTCCCCCAGACTGCTTTTATGATGGTTCTTTTGGGTGCACTTCTAAGCCTACAGTAGTGTGCTTCAAAAGCTATAAACTATTTCCAATGTGCACATGCATAAAGATTTGAAAATGAATTATTCTCAATTTTAGATTTAATTTCTGCACAGATCGGCATGCCAAGAGAGGACAAATAGACTTTAGAATCACAAAAACACTGCAGCAATTTGAGCCTTCAACTGCAGTGCCCTCGGCTGCAAAAGAATATGTGACCTGTACTTCACCTGTACTTCACTTGCTACATATTAGCATGTACCTCATGCTCTGGTTTTCAGCACAGCAAATACAGCACTATATTAATTACTTGCAGCTCCTGTATTTTGCAGAAATACTACCAACAGGGTGCCTCACACACAGAAGGGGCTCCAGTATAGATACTGTCAGCATCAGGTTCCTCTCAGAATGCACAGCTGAAAGGTAGCTAGATTAGCCTAGTCAGTATAGGCAGAGGAGCAAAAGAGTTTTAAAACATCTTAAACTGAAAGCAATCTGCTAATACTAAACATGAGGGTTCTTGACAACAACTAACAATTCTTGCTAAATGTAGGCTTTCATGGATCTAGATTTCATGGATCTAGATAACCAACTGGATCTCCAGTAGGGGTACCTCTGGAGATGATCTTTGTTGGGATGGTAGCAGGAAGGGAAAAGTTAAAACTCCTTTGCACTCTTCAAAAGCCCAAATGACATTCCCATTCCCCACAACAGTAATGTTAAGTGCATGCTCATTGTTTAAGATTCAGTGTTGCAATGTCATTTGGTCCTAAGCCCCTACTGATGTTTTGAACTGCAATACTTTAGTACTGGTCTTGTCCTTGAATCCTCCCTCCCTCCTCTTTCTCTATTCATGTTCACTTAGGAATAACCCCATTCCCTCCCACTCATACCTATTTTTGGCTATGTGCCTTTAAACTCCAATATAATTGTTTCACATCAAAGCGGATATGAAATGGTTCCTCCATGCCTTTCCTGAAGCCTAGAGAAAATGGTTTGTATAAACCATTCAACTGCATTCAGATGTGAGATGCCAATGCTGAAATGACAAAGACTAGATGGGAAAGATCATTTTGGGAACAGTTGTTCAGGCAAGAGAAGTTCCAGAGGAGAAGAACAGAAGGACTTCTCTGCCCAGGAGATTCTGAAACAGTTACTCTGGTCCCACACAACTAACCAATAAAATACTTGCTGCAACAATAAAAATGGGAAAGAGGGATTTTCTTTGCCTTTCAAGGTGTAATGCTTGTAAGACTACTTCCACACTATTGCTAATTTTTCATAAACATTTTGCCACTTCTGAACGGTTTTAGTTTGGAATTTCTGTAGCCAGGTCTCAAGTGGATTATGAAAATCCAAAGCTGAACTTGAAAATAATTTAGAAAATCAAACGTAGGTTGCCCATATTTTCTAGGAGATAAAATTTTCCAGACAAATTTCTCTGCTGACTTCAGGTTCAAAATCTCTGTATTTATAAAGCAATAGTAAGTGCTATTTAAAAGAGATTATGTTGATCCCTAAAGATATCAACGTGTTAGATACCTCTACATGGTAGAGACACTCTCCAAACTAAAGTTTCTCTGGAAATGAATAAGGGACCAGACTGACCACAATTATTTAGGACTCACCGATACTGGGCCGGGTTGTAGATCGTTCAATGATGGCCCGTTTCCCAGGATTGTTGAGCACCGAGCGCTTGGCCAGGGACAGGTCCGCTGTAACACGCGTGATGGAGATTCTAAAAGATAGGATGGCTCTGCTAAACGCTCTTGGGAGATGGTGGGGGGAGACTGGAGGGGAGGGAGAGAAAGATATTTTTTGAATGCCTCACCTGCCATCAAATCTGTGCTTCAGGAAATCAAAAAGAGCTTTCTGCATCATGTCTGTCACCTGGAGGAAAGAGAAAGGCAGGTGAATTGGGAAGTGAGCAGAGACGCTGGTCAGGTGACAGCCACAGTCAGTGCTAGCATATCTGGAGTGGGTTTAGGAGAGAATTTGGGAGAGAATTTCATCCCTTCCACATCCCCATACCTCATATCCTTTCAGGGAGGGCCCCACCAGCACCACTGGCCGCATGGAAGGAACAACATCATAGGGAGGGATGTGCTCTGCCTGCAAAAAGGAAAGTGTGTCAGAGGAAGTGGCTTTCCCCTTATTCTGCAGCCAAAAATCTGCCACTGACTCTTAAGGAGAAAAAAGGGAAGTAGCAAAGATAAAGAGGGGTTTCTCTAAGCCTCACATTTCACCAAATACACACATGACCCAAACATCAAGACTAGCTCCCCCCAACCCATTTTGCTTTTGATACAATATCGCACCCCAGATGGGGGCTTCAGATTCTCTGCAAGAGGAACAGACCCCAGCCCCACTGCGCCTTTTGAAAGCCCTGTGATAGAGGAAACTCTGCCATTACTGAACAGCGATTTTTGACTCCAGGGAAGCCCCACTCTCAGATCCGATCCTAGCATCCAAGCTGCTGTATATGAAGTTAGACCAGACAGGCTCAGAATTCACCCTGCCTTCTTCTTGGGAACTGTCTGGAGGGGAAAAGAGTAGCATCCGAGAAGGTAATCTCAGCATTAAGGCCTTACCTGCTTTTGCTTCTGCTTGGCTTGTTGGAAAAGAAAGAAGATACGGGGTTGTCAACAGGCATGAATCAGCAAGAGAAAAACTGCAGGAAGGACCAGAGCTCTGCAGTGTGGGAGATTTGATCTCCTGGAATTGCAACAAGACCAGGAGGCTTCTCCCAGAAAGTATCTGGTATTATTTCCCAAATGCAACAGGGCATGTACACACAGAAATTTAAGTTACAGCACTGGCAGTCATTGTTTGCACTCAGGACTACACTGAAAATGCTATGTCCCAGACAAGCCAAGGTAAGCAAAATCTAGTGACTAAGATTTCCCTTATTCTGCACTATCTAGACTATAACTGCTACCTTTTTAAATTTTGCTAATTATGGGGAAAGGCTCTTAGCCACTGGAGATCTCATTTAGCATCTGCCCTACTCCTTAAAGGTGTCACCCACTTCATGCTTGAGCTTTTAATTCTAATATTAATATAAGGTGCACACATGTTACTCCGTGAGAATCCAGACAACGTTCATCTCAGAGTCTGGTGACCCCTTCTTCCCCTAGCAGCTGTTCCCTCTTTTTCCACCACCACCCCATTTCCAAAAGCATAACTCTATTCAGCATGCACAGACCAGAGTGCTCTTGCCCCATAAGGCTGTTATGTTAATGCATGTAAGTCTAATTTTTAGCATCACCTGTCCAGACTACCTTTCACCACCTCCCTGTCCCTTTGCTGAAAATTACAGTGGGAAAGACCAGACTCAGGTGAAGTAGGCAAGGTGGAAACCTTATCAGTTCCAACTCTGACCTGTTGGGATTTTTTAAAAGAACAATATGCTGTGCGGTTCAACACACACCTTTTCTCAAGTTAAAAAATAAAAAATAAGCAGTGATGTATAAAAGTGGCTTATATTTAGACATGCTGTCCCATCAAGATCCACAAAGAACCCCTCTGAGCATACTCGGTGGGCTTGCCTCTTCCCATGAAAGAAATACATCTGCAGAAAACATACGGCGTTTACATTCGATCAGCTCAGGAAGTCCAGCTTTCTGGTAAGAGGGGCTTTAGCACGTTTCATTTAGTTAACGTTTTAGGGGATGGATGCCAAACCTCTTCAAATTTGGATGCATTGTTTAAAAGTACTAATGCTGTTCTCTGCAAAGACAAGGAGAGTCAAACAAAATAATCGGGGACAGGCTGATCAGCTCTGTTTCCATATCTTTCCATCTCTGAGTTGCATGGGAATAGTGGGGAGAATGCTCCATTTTCTAAAACCCCTACAAGAAAAGGTTCAATGCAGACAGGAGCAAAACAACAACAACAACAACAACAACAACCAGCCAGCCAGTTAGGGATTGAAGGTGGCGTCACCTGCAGGCACTCACTGCTTTCATCAGAATGACAAAAGCAGCTTTATGTTGCAAGCTCTGACCCTTTTGGACATGCATGCAATGTCACAATACACATAGAAAGGGGGCAGGGCTTGCCTTATGATGCCATGACATCACTTGCATTACTCAGACACACGCACGCACGTGTGCATGCACACACACACACCCCCGCAGATGCTGCAGATTGAAGAGGTTAAAAGAATGAATGCATACGACCATCCACGTGTGTGCACCTATGTATAGGTTTCACCTCCTCCTGGTAGCCTAAACTGGGTCACATCATTGCTTCAGCTTCATAGGTAACTTCCTATCAACAATCAGCTGCTTAACAGTTCTGAAATATTCAGCCCCATACATACTCTTCTACCAAGGAGGCTAAGGCAAGAGTTGAAATAAGTTCTTTCTTTTGCCCCAGTACTCTTTTCACAAGGAGATAAAGGGAAGGTACTCCCACTGTGCTATATAAATAAAGGCTTCCCTCCTCTTGCATACAGAGGAAGACATTCCAGGAGCTGTTACCATCTTCCCTGCTCTCCTTGGAAGAAGAATAGTGGGACAGTGGCAACCTCCATCCACTGACATCACCCAGTCTCTCCAGAGAAGGGAGAATCTGGTCCTGGATCAAACTCAGCTCCTCTGCCATTCTAGAAAGGTTTGGTAGCTAGGGGGTGGTTGCAATTCAGATCTCCAGTCCCACAAACCAAAATTAAACTATAGAAAAATTCAACTGTGCTTTAATGCAAAAAACGGTGGCAATTAGAGATGTGCAAAACATTTTTGGTTTGAACCACTTCTAAGTTTGAAATACTCCATTCTGAACCTGAACAAACTCATAAGAGGTCATTCGCCAGAAGTGTTGTGAAATTATGGAAATGTGCCAATCTCAACACATCCCATTTTGAATTTGCAATGGCTATTTTGACCTCAAAAAGGGCTATTTCAAGCTCAGAACCTTTCCATTTCTTAACAGCGTCTGAAACTACTTGTTCTTATATGAAGCATACCAAAGGTTCACCAGGCATTGTCCGCATGTTTTCAAGTATATTGTTTCTGTCTAGGAACTTGGTGTGAGATTCTCAGGAAGCTGAACTCAGCAACCAGTCCTACATTTGGTATTCCCAGAATTATGGCAAACGCTTAGCTCTATTTATGTCTTTACCTAATGATGGGGGAGGCGATCGCCGGTTGCTGACAGCAGGATTACCAGATTGCCTAGAGGAAGCAGAGGAAAGCAAATACATGTTAAGAACCTAGGATTAAAAAAGTGCTCAATGGTGTTGTGTGTATACAAATTCAGAATCCATCTATATGACACATTCCCTCCCAAGTTCCAATTTTATTAATAAATATAAACATGAATGTTGATTTTCCAAATTATTTTTCATCGATGTTGCCCTTAAAAGAAGCATCATAGCAATCTAAATATTTACATACATTCTATGCATCGGAGGTGAGTTTAGCTAACCAACAGCTTAAATGGGGCACATGATCTACTCCCAAATGTATGGCCACAGACAATTTTTACATCTCCTTCTGTGGCTAGAATTATATGCTCCACATCCTTGTCCCATCTCACCTGGCTTTTTGCTCCTGCTTCAGCCGTATGGCCTCCAGCCTCTGTGGGCTGGGGATGAAGGCGATGTCTCCCCCCTCCTTCACTAGCCGCCCGATCCACCAGTCATTGCTGTATTTCTGGAAGGGATATCACAGGAGAAGGCCACAGACTTGATTCCCAACTTAATCTCCACTTCACCTTTACTCGTATAGGCTAGACTAGTGTTTCCGACCTTGGCAGCTTCCAAATGTGTGGACTTCAACAACATAAACATTGCTGAGAATTCTGGGAGTTGAAGTCCACACATACAGGAATTGCCAAGGTTGGGAAACACTGGGCTAGAGTCAAGCATCACACATAATCAAAATGTGATTTATTTTGTTTTGGCGTTTGTGATTTTCAGAACAAGGTTTAAGGCTTAGTATGATGTGTGAACCCTTGTCTTGGGTAAGAAAGTCATGTGCAAACCAGATCTTTCTGCTAGAGAAAGAAAGAGAGGATAGGGTCTATCTGCCTGCATATCTCTCTCTTCTTCTTAAGCTACTCAGATCAGAGTAGAGCTTGGAGTGTGTTTTTTTCTAGTTATACATTTTTAGTATGAGTACTAATACATTAAATATAGCATTTGGTGGGTAGCCATCATAGCTAAACATCTGTTCTTCCAACCCTGGAAGGCCGCAACCTCAGGATAAATTTAAAATTAAACAGTTGATCTTCTGGATATAGCAGCCAAGGAATGAGATGCTAGGTCTAAATTAAACTGTTCTCTTATCTAAATGTTTAAAGCTTCTAAAATCCTGACTCTTATTCCTCTTCTTTTCCCTATCTCGCTTTCCTGGATAACTACTCTTTCCTCTTCCTCTTCCTCTACCTTTAGTGGGTTTGGGTGACATATCCAGTTAAACAGGGAACCGCTTAACAGGATAATATCTTTGAAACAGAATTCTATGCAAGGCTAGGTCGGCCCCAACCCTGCTGGGGATCAAGGAAAGTCACTATGACTTGGCTGTTTCAGAAAGCCTTTGGAGTCTGACAGTAAATACTGACACCCCCCCCCCCCGCGGTGTTAATGGGGAGGAAGGTTGATTGCTGTTATTGGTTTGGGGGTATTGTTATGTTTTCTTTTATTCTTTTCCTTTTTCTATTTTTATTGGTAATCAGCATGAAGCCTTTTTGGAACTGAGCAGCACATAAATTACAGAAATAAATAAATAAATATGTTCATATTTGCAATACTTCAGTTAAGATTTTGAGATCAGTTAAGCTGATCACATACTTTGCCCCAATCCATACTTTCCTGGTTATCCAAGAGAAAGATAAAGTGAGTCAAACTCAACTCCTGGAATCTCCATCGCTACATCTATGTTGACTTCTTGGCAAACGATATACAAGTTCTCCACCATTGCCTTCTTCTGAGTTGCACAACCTCCCTACCTAGCCTGTACCCAGAAACATCCCCAGGGCAGCTTGTGATGTGGGGGAGAATGATGGAAGCAGTTTGGAGTGTCACAACATAAGCTCTACCCCTTTTGTACATGTATTGTTACATTGCACACACATGTACACAACAATGGGTTGTGCTTGCATCACAAAGGCATGATGCTGTTTTGGTCCTTCTGATGAAAGCTTCAGATCCTGCAGACACTTTTGCCTGCAACCCTGGGATTTTCTGGTAGTTTCCCATCCAAAAGCCCATTTCAATTTGAAAAACTGAACTCCATTTCTATATGGGAAGTTTGAGAACTTTTTTAGAGAAGGGACTTTCAGACCACGCGTGTCTAAACTCTAAGCTCACCACAGTAAACCATCTCAACCCACCCCTAGCAGCAGCAATGCAACTCCTCCCCTCACAAATCCAAATGCAAGCTGCCTCTGCTCATCTCTGGTACCACCAATGCCCCACCTCTTTAATGTGCAAGAAGTCTTTGGCTTCAAAGTTGATGGCAGATCCCTGCACAGGACATTCTTCATCCAATGCGCCACAGTAGCTGACATTAGTACGAACAGCAAATGCAACGGGTTTGTGCTGAGGAGCAAAAGAAATCAAACATGAGTTATCCGTGTCAGGTCAGTCCTAATCTAAAATAACACATTAGATCAAATGTCCATCCTCCTCTTCCTCCTCCTTCTTGTGACCTTGATTGGCTCAAAGAACACCCAGGAGTAGTTACAGGGTCTCAGGAACAAGGAAGCTGGACAATGCCTTCAAAGGGAGGCACCACCTGGTCTTTGCTGATCCTTTTGGCATAACAATGCTTGAAAATTACCTACATCTAAGCAGGTTTCACTTGCATGTCACAGGGGTCTAAGTATAGGACTTTAAAAATTTTCTTCCATTTCCACATTTCCTCTCCCCTCTGCCCCTCTAATTAGACGGGTACGTGGATCACTTTTTCTCTAAGATACTCCTGAAGTACGGTGGGATAGTTACTGGGTTGTCCATCTCTCTTTCCTGCATGAGCTTGCTCTGACCATTCCTTAGTTCCACCTTGACCAGGTAACAGCATCCTTATCCTGTTCTCAGACCACGCTTCAAACTGCCTTATGTCAATCCTTTCCACTGCAGAAAAGAACCAGGGCATGTGGAATGCTGACTGAATATTGAAGGGGAAAAAGTAAAAGTGGGGAGGGGAAAGGGAACAGAGTAGATGGAAACCTGAATAGGGAATGTACTCTACATTTCTTTCAAAGCTTTTATTCTTTAGTATTTCCCCCCTGTAGTAAATGCTGAGGCCTGAAGTAAAGCTTGAGGTCCCAACTTCCTCTCCCAGAAGCTTTCTGGGTCTTTCCACCTTGGTCCCACTTCAAGCTCTGAAGTAGTAGCTTGATAGCTCAGCTATCCCAGAGGGCATTTCACCCGGTATCCAGTCTCTAAACCCAGCACACATTAGAAATAGGGGTTTCACATCCTCTGATGCCTTTTCTAACAATTAAAAGGTCAAAATACAAATGCTGAATTAATTTCTATAGTGCCACTCCTGGCCATGTGGTGTTGAGGCATAGTGATTAGAGGATTCAGCCCTTCCCCCCCCCCCCGCCCTGTTGCCTCTTGGGAGATAGACAAATCTCACTGGAGGTAAACAAAATGAAACTTTATTTCACAAAATTAAAAACAAAACTTTAAGTACCAAAATGCAAACATTCAATGTAAAAGAAAATAAATACAGAACTGCCCAGATTATAGTAACACAGCATCTTGCAAAGTAGTTAAGAAGCATTCAAATAAAAATGCAACATTCCAGACTGTCAGCCCTCCCAGGTAAACCAGACAGGAAACATGACCAGAGGAGCTACTTCTACTTTATTTGACAGGCTACATTAACAGAATCTTGCAAGTCTGAAAGTACAAATCTCCCCCCATCCCTATTTACTGCCTGATCAGTTAGGGCAGGTCCTTCCTGTTTCTTTCTCTGTCCGTTAGTCAGTTGGGGGCTCCTCCCCCCTTTATCGGGGGAAACCTGAACAGGGAATCTCCTCCCATCTTCCAAGGTAATTCTCACATTCCATTATACAGACAGACCACATGTTGACACTGGCCTACTACATACGAAGAGCCCTCTATCTAAAAATAATTTCCCTCCAACGGTGAGATTCATAATTATCACTACAAACCACAAGAATATTCTAAAGAAAAAAAATATAGTCATGAACATAGCCTATAGCATGAAAGAAGCTGAAATTCCATAACTAGTACAGCAAGATAAAGAAAATGAGACTTAGCACAACATACAAAACAGAAACAGAAATCATTTAAAAAACTAATTCCTGGCTATACACTTTACCTATTTCTACAGACCTGAAGCAAATGGTCCTCTGTTTCCAAATGTTCATCATAACCTGTTGGGAGATGGAAACCCTGTCTCTTACTCAGCCTCTTTCCATGGACATTTTCTCCCTTGTTTTAAAAAGATCAAAACTTATTCCATATCCAGCAAAAGGAAGGGCTGGTTGTGTGTGAGAGACAAAGAACCATCTCTCACTCATGGGGATGTGGATCATGAGTCTATAGTCTGCAATCTGGCATATGAGCTATATTCATAATACCTCCCCCCGCCACAAGACTGCGTGTACTTTTGAAAATCTTAAGAATTCTCTCAAACCTGCCAATACCAACATTTGGACATGGATGGTGCCTTTTTTGCTACACAAGTGACTTTAGAGAACTCCGATCAGTACCGGTAGTTGCTTTCTTCCTCTCCTTATTAGGTCAGTGCAGTGCTTCAGATCTGATTCCAAAAATGTGGTTTGGAGTGCGTGTGAGTAAGAACGTAGCACCTGCGTGCAACTCTTTAAAGATGCTGTCTTTTTCTGCAATCCTGCAGCTTCTCTTCATAGTTGTCATGTGATCCCATGGCTCTACTCCTTATGTTATTTTTTTTAACCAAATCGTGATTCAGATTCATTAGGGCTACCAGGAATTAATCTGCACTTCCAAACAGCAGCTTCTCGCATTGCCAATAAAATTACGCTGTGTAGCTGTTACAGCTTCCTCTGTTTAGCTGATACTCTGTGGTTTAAAAGAAAAATAAGGCAGAAGCAGTGGGAAAACACAGAAAGATGACAAGTGTTCTAACCAGCTGGGGAATTCCATAATTGAAGCAGAGCAACTGAACAATAAAAACCTGGACTGTAGTATACTAGCCTGGATTGTTCCAGGGGCAGCCATTCTCATCTGACGCAACCCTCTATCTGCCCACCCCGTCCGCTACCTTGGCCTTTTCGAGCTGCTGCTGGGCCTGGTTCTCCACTTCGCGCTTCACACCTTCACGGTCCTCCTCTAGCGACACGTCGGAGTCCAACGATGGGCGGCTGGTGTAGGAATCAGCAGAGCCCTGAGGCAAATGCAAAAAAAAAGTACAATCATAGATTGTTTTTGTGACTGGAGATTGGAATACATGCTGGCTATTTGGGCTCTCTACCTGTTAGCCCAGCGAGATAGTCCAGGCAAGAAGCACACCCAGGAGTACTCGCTCTATCTTTATTGTGAGGTTACGCTAACAGAATCTTGCAATCTTTCCTGCATGAGCTTGCTCTGAC